TGGGGGATTCTACAATAGTAGAGGGCTGATTAAGTGGGACACTCGGAGATTAGAGTATAGCTCACATAGGGATTACATAGGAATATAATGGAATATATAGGAAGCTTTCACACAGCCCGTTACAATGTCCAAGCCGCCACCGGGATGGCCGCACCAATGCGCTTCTTGTTGGCAACTGTTGCAGATGTGTGCTTATGAGTTTCCCCAAGGTGTGTTCAACTTTATTCTGTGCCCCCTTAAACCCCATTCTGTGCCTAGGCGATTGGGTTATGCATTGAGGGTGTTCCGGAGCCAGTGTGGGACGCTGGCCGTGGCGTATGGCGAGCCTCGACTGGAAATACACACTGAACCTGCATACTTGGCTATATGATGCTTTATGTGGTTTGCACGTCTTAAGTTGGGTTGTCCTGCAGATTCTTCTTCCACCGAGTTACGCGATGCAATCTCGGTTTGGGGACCAAGCGGCTTTCGCACCATCATTGCTACTGGGATCCGCTGCTTAGCTAGACAGAAGTAATTGTTGCCTGTCCCTGTGACGCATTCTGGATCAGGTCGGAGGAGAAATGGACGTGGACCCATGTGATATCCAAAATCCGTCCTGATAAAAGTAGGGGCCGAAAAGTTCCTTGGATGATATTTCAGCCGCTTTCTCCTTGTAATGTGGTGACGGTGCGCCTGTGTCAGCCTTCGTCGCTGTGGTTCATTGACTAGCGCAGTGCTTGCTTGGTTTTGCTGGGGCAACGGCCTCAAACAGCAGCCATGACGGATCCTTTGCCGTCGATCGATGATGACACGACATGCACCGTTCCAGAGTCCCAGCCACTGTTCCGCACGCAGGGGTGTTGTATTTATTTGTACTTGGTGTACTTGTCGCATCATATTGTGCCATTTTTGTTGTTATGCCCAGGTGGTTTCATGCTGCTCAACATACGGAAGAGTTGGCATCCTGGGCATCCTCTTGGCAAGGCCTCAGGGACTGCGTAGGGCAGCTTGCTACACTACATCTGCTTTGCTGATGGCAGGACCGCGGCACGTGGGCTTGATATCGAAGCACAAAGATCGGTATCCAGCTTTCTCCCAGGCACACCTCACTATCTCCCACGTGCTTGGCATAAATGCCATCAGGCAAGTAAGAAAGCACAATGAACGGACTGGGGTTGGTTGCCATGAATATCAGTGAACCATCATCAGCCAAGAAGCGAAATTTTCTTGGAGGCCCCAAAGCAATCCAAAGATCTCCGTTCATCATGATCTCACGACTTGGGCTGGAGTACTTCTGCTTCTCGATCTATGCTTGCAGAAGGTTGGCTTGTTGTTGTAGTGCGCAGGAGCAGTCGGGACTAAATTGCAGTAGGATTTGTTTTCGGGGCGCCCGAGGTTGGCAACTGGCGCGATTGGAGTCGCAGGCCCGCCTTGCTCCTTGTTCGTGTCGGCGTGTCAGACGCTTCATGGTCGCTTCCCATCCCGCCCGTACGGCAACACAAAGAACTTCAAAGTGCGATTGGCCAACACGATTTGGGCAAATTTCGTATCTTGGTCTGATGATCCGGGTGAATAATATCGTTGATCATTGCCTTGGCTGGCCTTTCTATTCTTGCATATTCTTGCTTGGCCTTAGGCTATTATCCTCCAGATCGTGGGCAGGCATTTGGAGACTGACGCATGATGACTAAACGTATACTGCTCTTCGCATTGAATCATCATGTTTCATGATGTTTCCTCATGGTTTCACCTTGGCAGGTTGCGGAGCGACTTGTTGTGGATCGTGGAGCAGCTATCCAGCATGGCCTTCCACTTGCCTGAGATGAAGACGGCTATTGAAATCTTGGGCCTGCGACTTGCATGCATTCGCTTAATTTTCATGGTCCTGCCTGCGCCTTCCACTCGTAGATTGTGGTGTTTCCCCTATCCTCCTTGGCAGGTGCCGCCATGTGACATGGCAAGGGTTCTTTGACCACGACCTCCCGAAGTGCACCGTCTTGATGAGCAACCTAAGGCCTGGTAGAGTAGGACACAGCTGATACACAACAATGTGCCCTTAAAAGCCGCCAGCAGTTTTTGCAGAGCAGCCATGTTGGTGCCCGCCATTTCATTTCTCAGGTCTGTCGTTGATCTAGAGCGTACCATGACTCCTGGAGACCGCATCCGGATCAAGGATGCCAGGCTGCGCGTTGAGCTGACCCAACATAGTGAGTCATACAGTTGCCAGGGATTGCCGGGGCATGTCAGAGCGTCATGGGTTGCCAGTGCGGTATGCTGGGACAAGCGTGCAAGCACAAAACATCATAAAGAACCGAGCCCCACAAAATATCCCAGCATCTTGTTTCCCAAATCTTGATTGCCAACCCCCAGCAGTCCTCCAACCGCGACAATTTGTGAGCCCCTTTGCGCGGCTGTGCGGTGCTCTGAGGAAAGGCTGGCGAAGAGGCAAGAGCGCCGCAAGGTCAAGAAGGCTTGCCACGCGTCGTTGTATCATGTGGGATTAGAAACCCGCTCCCAGCAACTTAGCAACCCCACATATCCAAGCTCATCTAGTACCCCACTTGCGCAGGTTTATTTCACGACCCACGTGTCCAGCGATGGGAAGAAGAGCTGGAGTGGAGGGCGAGATTTGGCTTCTTCGGCCATCTATCCCGCGAAATTCTGTCGGGCGCTGCTGAACTGCTGGGCATGCACTTATGTGCAGGTGGAGACTTGGATTCGGGAATATTGGGGGTGAGGGGGGCGTGCAGTAGCTTGCGCGTTGTCCTAGCCATTCTTGTAAAGCATCGGTCTGAGGATTAACGAATCCTTCTGAGCCCTGATGCGGACCTCCGTGCGGATATGATATGCTGTGCTGCGGGGGCGTAGTTGGGTTGGGTTACTTGTTTACAGAGCAGAGTGCGACGAGGTCTTCGTAAGTGATGGTGCCAAGGCCGCTGTCACGCATATGTCGCATGTCTGTCTCCCTTTTCATATTTGCGAGGGGTGCAGCCTTTAGGCACGTGAGGCCCTGCGCTTCTTATCTTGCCGGGTCCACGAACGCGGATCGGCAACGTAGCCTAGGAAGGTTCGGCGTTGTTCATTGTGGCATGCCACGGTGAATGGTGCGCCTCTCTGACGGATTAATTCATGTTATAATAATTCATGCTAATTCCGTGCATTGCGCTGTGAGCAGCAATCACCCACCAGATGCACCGGTAAAGAGTTCTGTGACGCAACCGAGTCCATTGCTTGTCCCTTTGGGGTATATAGGCAGTGTCGTGGTGAGGCCCGTGTAGCCGTAGACGTCGTGCGCGCCAGCTGTACTCAGGCATGGGGAGCGTCCTGCGCAGAGGCACCTTCTGAGGGAAAGCAAGGACAGGGTTCTGGGGTGCTGCCGTGCGATGCCGTGCGAGCGTTCCTCACTTTGAACCTCTGCTTGACTTATGCAGGACCTGACAAGCCACTGGGGAGTGCTGCAGATCCGGGAGATCCACCAGGGAGTGCTGATGCTGCAGATCCGGGGAATGAAGGACCATAGCCATCAATAGCCGACATGTTACTTCGAGGGCCCACGGGTTTCTGCTTGACTTCTGCTAACTTGCACAAAAGCCTTTCGGACATGGGTGTGGGCAGGTTTGGGGCTTTGACGTGGGGTTTCTGGCGAGTTCGACACATTGGAGCCAATTTGAGCCAATTCCAAGCGCCTTGCTGGAAATATGCAGGAGTGGATTGCTTTTGAAAGTTTCTGTTCGGAATGCTGAGATTTTTGGGTTTTGTTCAGAATTCAGAAGCAGCGCCGCAAAAGAAACCATTTTTACTATTTTACAGTTTTGTCGCACCGCAAAAGAAATCACTGTTTCTGTTTTACAGATTTGTCGCATGGTTTTCATGGGCACTGGTGCTGGTGCGACGCAGGCTCTGTGTCGAGCGTGTGACATGTGTAAGACTATGGGTTGCGCGCATGGAGGCATGGATTTTTTAAAGCTTGATTTTTCCACGCAGCGTCTGCCACCCCAGGCCAAGGCGGCCAAGGTAGAGAGAATTGTGAATGACAATCCACATGAAGCCCGCCCATTCCATGGTCCCCCACTATTATTCGTAGGCTCCAACCCAGATTGCATAGCGACAACCAAAACCAGTGAGTCAAGTCAGGTAGAATGATTGTCTGCCATTATGGTCTGAAGTTTATAGTTCTTCTTCAGTTTGTAACTTTGTAAGTTGCTTAAGACCCTTGTTTTGGATAATGAGATAACAGACCCCCGACTAGAATGTTTTGAGATTACATGGTTCCCGGCGCTTTCATGGCTATGGCCTTGCCATCGTTTTTGGTATGGCTAGGTTCCATGGACACCGTTCGCTTCAAGGGCCACCGAATTTCAATTTCAGCTGAAGCTTCCCTTGACGAGTGCATCAGGGATCGTGATGCGGTTGCTGAGAGCAAGGTTGAAGTTGGAGATGATGATCATAGTTCAAAGATTTGGGGCTTGGGTCGGATAAGCGATGTACAAATTTATGATGCGATGATGGTTTTACCTGCAGAAGCGAAAAGGCAGTTGGACTTTTGGCAACAAATTACTGGCAGCAATTTGCATGGGCAGTGTTACATTTTCACATGTGACGATGTGGTTCCTTTGGACCGGCCTGCAATGTTGCAACAGTTTGGGCAGAGGCGTTTTAGAAGTTTCCTGACAGAGTTGGAGCCTGAGCAAGGCCCTCGGATGTGGAGGTCTCTGAACTATGATGGCGACTGTCCGTGTCATGTGGTGTTGCGGGTTCCACAGCCTTTTGTGGAACAGGTGGTGCAAGGCCCGTGGAACATGTTGCTGTTACCACACCTTCCAAACACCTGCCGAACAGGGTCTTCCACTCTGACTATGAATTGGCCTGCGATTGGAGTGAAAGCTTCTAGTCCATGCATACCCCAGCTTCCACCTCTTGCCAAGAACTTTCCAGGCACAGACAACAGTGTTGCCTTATCTGCGCAGCTTGTAGATGAGGCGGTGGACTTTATGAAGTCGTAAGCAGCTACTCTGACGATGGGTTGCGATGATGCCGGCTTTGAGAATGTAGAGTATTCAGCTATTCAGCGTTGTGTAGCGATGTTTCAATCCCTGAAAGCAAGCTTGGATCCTAGCGCTTTTGTGCGTTCAGTCAGGGAGATGACAGGCAAAGGCCATGCGCTGTGGCAATCTTCCAGGCGACCGTATCAGGTTGCTTTTCTTGTGAAGGCTGTTTGCATGGCAAGTTTACTCCGCAGTGCAGATGCAATATCAGAAGCATTACAGACTGCTGCTAGCATTGTGCTACCAGGCAATTTGCAACCAGCGTTTATGAACATGTTGCAGACATGTGAAAAACACGTGCCGCACGAATCCACAATTTCACGCTGGAAGTTGATTTTGGATGGTAGTTTCATGCTGTTCCTTCGCCGGCAAAATTCATCCAAAGACATTGGTGGCTGCGTTCGGTACTTGATGGCAGATGCTTCGACTCAGCACGGCCGGGAGCTTGAGCACATAATGCTACGCAGCATCAAGAAGCAAGATGTGGGCCGCCTGTACAATGATTATGTCCGACTGATGGATTTGTGGTGCTTAGGCAGTTGTTAATGAAACCTTTTAGAGTTATGAGTTCTCCGTAGAACCTGTGCCTTGTAGATTATTATCCGTCTTTTTTCCCTAAGGCATTGATTGTTTTCCACTATCCACGTACCCAAATACCATTATAGTCTCCAACCTGATACCTGATCCCCATTGAAACCATTGAATCATAGGCACGCTGTAGAAGATGACGATACTATTGCTGTGCAGAACGAGAAGCCTCTTCTTGCAGACTTGCGTGGCAGCATCATTGAGCACCATTTGCCAATAATGTCACTTGGTTCCGGACGAACATCGCTTCAAGACAAGTTTTGCGCAATCATGTTTGCTATGATGCTGGAAGCTGGGGCAATGCCAGATAGCTTGGCGTCTTTTGCTCAAGAGATCGTTGCCAGCACAGCTGATTTGGGTGTTGAGTTTTCTCTGAGCAGGATTGTGCCAACATCATTCAACAATTTATGTCCGTGGTTTTCGTCTTCAGATGCGGGTGCTTCGAATCTAATTGGCAATCATGACGATGCAGATGGAGATGGTGATGCTGACTTGTTCGATGTTTTTCCGGTCCAAGATGGTGGAGACGGGAATGCAGAGACTTTATCATTTCAGAATATGTTGTCAGTGCCAGGGCCTCTGCACATCATCGACAATGCTACAAAGCGTTTGCTGGATCAGATGCCATACTTGAGACAAGCCATTCCGAAGTTGGGTTTGCTTTCGCGTTTCTTGTCTGACCATGCGTACAAGCAGCGCCTGTTGTCTACATGCTTTCATGAGCAGATTGGGCAGGCTTTTCGACCCAGCATTGAACGGTTTCATGCAAAGGTCAATGAGGGGAGGTGGGGCAGTGTGGCATTTGCCATTCCGGAATTGTTGAAACTTCAGGTGCCATTGACACGATTTTGGCATTTCGAATCTTTCATGTTCGGGCAAGTGCAAGCGCAAGCTCGTGATCAGCAGGGTCAGGGGGAAGAATCTGCCCATGTTGCAAGGCTGGATCTTGTCAACGAAGCCATTGAATCCTTGGAATTCTGGGGTCAGCTTGCAACGTTGGATCGCCTTTTCCAAGTCGTGCGTGACATCTTTGAGTGGGTGGAGTCTTGTCCTTGCCATTACAAGAGAGATGCGCCCTCAGAAGTCAAGAAAGCCTGGCAGATGTGTCCATTGCGTGGCCGACGTTTGGCAGAGATTTCCAGTGGTGATCTATTTCAGGTTGTTCACGAGCTCTGCCTTGTCAATGCTGCCGAGTTGTTTGCGGAGTTGCCTGCAGGTCTGAGTGAGGAGGGCCGTGCTGCTTGTCTTTTGGATTTTGAGCATGGCCGTGGCCACTTGACCTTTCAGCTGACACTGAAGTTGTCGTGCTTCTTGGAGCTCCCACTGCTTCTGCTCGGGGCTGCCCGTCACAACCCAGACAATCCTGACCTGCAGCGGCATTCTGTCAAGCGTTGCGTTGATTCAGATTCCCAACATCCCCTTCTGCAGAGGCTACGTCAAGGCTCTCTGAAAGAAGAAGTTGACTTGTACCTGGATGGGGAAGAGTTGTTGATGCTTGAGAACTTGAAAGAGTTTCTTGGCAGCATGCTTTTTGCATGGGGCACAGAGCGGAAGGTGGAGGGTGGCCATGCCCAGGTGAAGATGTTGGCTGGCAGCCGTCGCAATCGCACAGAAGCCACAGACTCATTGGCGCTTCGGCTTGCGGAGATCAGACTTGTTCTGACTTCTTCTGATATCACAGCCTTCCTTGAATGTGTGCAAGCCGCACGCAGTCCGCGGAAACTTGTTGCACGTTTGGGCCTGGAAAGGCATCCAAGTTGCAGGTTAGCTCGCAGCAATTGGGACCCCATTTATCGGAAGATTGTGTATCATGCTGATCCGCTCTCTTTGTATGATCGGAATCCCCCGCAGCTGCTTGCATCTCTGAGCGGCCCTGGTTCCAGTGCCCGCCCACTTGCGCAGGCATTGCAAGATGCTGATGAAGATGTGGCTCCGGAAGTTCAGGAAGTGCAGCGTGCACTTGCGCTGAGGCATCTGAAGCAAGAGCTGGCAGTTCTCGCCAACAGCAAAGACAAACGTGTGTTGTTCTCTTGTTCCATGCCTTCTGGTGCTTTGTCGCTCTTGTCCAAGTGGTTGGTGCCATCGCAGTCGCAAGACTCCCGGCCACAATCGACAGCTGGAGCTGTTGCGGCGGCCAGCTCAGGCGCTGATTCAGGCGCCGTCGTTCCTGCCCAGACGCTGACAGATGTGATGGTCTCGGAGGTGTCTTGTGAAGAGCGTGTTTTCTTCAGAGTGGTTTCTGCTGGCTTGTCTAAAGCCAAACTTGCAAGCCCTGTGGATTTCTCGAGCACTGAGCTTGGCATTCTTTTGCTGAAGGCTGTGCAAGATGCTGATGGGTTTGCTGTGGAAACTTCAGGTTTCAAGATTCCGCCTGCATTTGCAAACAGTAGCAGCCAAAGCTTGCAAGAGGTTCCTCTGGTGTGTTCCCTGTCGTGCTTGACTGTTGCGCAATTGCGCTCTTTCCGTGTGTGGGATGAGTCTGCATCCATCCGCGCAGATGTTGAAAGTGCTACAACCTCCGTCCTAGCAAGATGCCCCAAAGAAGTTCTCCTGCTTCGCTCTGACCTTCCCATTGCAGACAGGTCAAACTTTCAGTTGCTGGGGCAGTTGCTGGCAGATGGATGGCAATGCTGGGTGGCCCGTGATGCTTCCCACATGACAGGGTTGTAGAAATCCATTTGCAAATTCTTGGGCGAGCTTTTGTGGTTTGCTAGTGCAGCTAGATTCTACTAGTATACTAGATGTGTGTTTGTTCGTGTGTGTGGGCGGGCAATAAGTCTACTGCTGTGGCAACCATCCGATCAAAATGCAAACTGTTGTCTCACCTTGTACATTACTAGTTGTTGGGTGATGTGTCAAGCCAGTGATTGGGGGATGTGTGAAGTCTTTGTAGATGATCCTGCAGTCTCGTTGCAAGTACAAAGGTTCAGATGATGATAATGCTATCGGCTAACATCCCCTCCCCAGCTCCATTGTCAGATTCTACTTGCCATTGGTTCATACTACATCACTACATGAAGCATGTTGCCCTGCGAGGAGAGAAGCAGAAGCCAATCCTTACCACATCGGTGGCGAGAAACGGTTCTGGATCTCATCAACTGATGTTCGTGAGCCTCACAGTGCACGATTTCATGCTTACTGTTCCGCATTGCTTGCTGCAGATGATCAGGAGCTCACCGTGAAGCATTTCAAACCGATTCAGGATTACCTCCGACTTGTAGATCCTCTAGCTTTGGCAGTCTGGGAACAGAGACAAGCAACTTCGGGCAAGCGCAAGGCTGGCAGGATTGCTTTGGCTGATACGGATGAATGGGATGTGCCAGATCCCACAGTGGTCAAGCGGAGGAAATTGGGGGCAGCAAAGCGAAGGAGTGCTCCTCGAAAGCCCCGAGCTAAACCAAAGGCTCTTGCTGCAGTCAGTGATACAAGTCATGCAGCTGTGTCAAAAGCCGAAACTGAGGGAGCTGTGTCAGAGATTGCCAAGGCTGATGCTTCAGGCGTGGTCGTTGATGCGTGTGATGTTCAAGAAGATGGTGTGATCAATGCTGCCATCGAAGATGCAGCAACCAGCTCAGATGGAGATGGAGAGTGCATTGCTGGGTCTGAAGAAATCAATGAATTGATGGGCCTATTGGGAGAAAACGAAGAAGGGGAAGCTGCTGCAGAGCAGGCAGCAGCTTCATTGCATGCTGCAGGTACCGAGAATGCGAAGGAGCGTCGCAAGCGTGTAGCTGCATCAGATGATGCTGGTAGGCCAGCAGATTCGGATCACAGCGGCAGTGTTCGTAGCAATAGAAGTAGCAGCTCGAGTTCAAGCAGCAGCTCATCTTCCACTTCGACCAGCTCAAATGGCCGGCCTGCAAATGCTGCTGCAAGACCAGTGAAGCCTGACAAGGCCTCTGCAAAGGCTTCAACATCAAAGGTTTCTGCATCAAAGAAGAAGAGGTATACCCCTGTTGCTGTTGCTGAAGAGATTTCCCGTGACATGACCAATAGGATACCGTATGGCATACACCGCTTGATTCCCCGATACAAAGACCATGCGGTTGTGTCCTATCAAATGAGTTGTTGCCTCCCATGGCATACGCGACAGAAGGAGAAATGCAGTAGAGAGCTCAGTGTTCAGGTTGCTGGCTCTGCAGAGGATGCCAGACGCGTTCTGAAGGCCTGGGTTCTCCTGGGCCACAGTATGGAAGACAAGGCTACTCACATGGATAGAGCCAACAGGGAACTTTTTCTTGCAAGCTTGAAAGACGGCACACTGCTTTCCGAAGCAGAGCTAGATTCTATGATGGCCATTTCCGCTGATGATGCTATCCTAGCCCCTTTTGGTGTAGGACATGCGAAGAAAACAAAGTCCAAGAAGCTCCTTGGAGCTCGTGGCAAAGGGGTTCCGGCAGATGTTCATGAAAGAATGGAGGAACTGGCGCGGAGTGGTGGCATTCCATCCACTACATTGCAACAGCGGCAACGGAACAAGAAAACATCTGCAACTTATGGCATTCCGAAGCCATTATCAGAGGGGTTACTTGCACCCGAACCTCCCGCCGCCCACTGGTTATGTGTGGAAGTACCACGGTAACACATGGACATTGGTCGTTCGTGGCGGCTGAGCCCAGCCCCTTGAAGCATTGATGGGATTGGTTGTATTAAGGTTGGTGGTTTCACTGCGGAACTCATTGTAGGCTTGCGTATTGAGGCATGACATGTTCTAGGTTCCAGGCCCGATGCCTCAGTTTGAGCTTTACTTCACCAGTCAGTCTGTGGATGTTTAGGGTTGCTCAGCTACTGTTTGCAACGTGCCACCGCTTGCTCAGGTTGCTGCGGCTGTGACATTGTCTCTTCTACTGCGCTTTGCTAGCTGCTTGCCTTGAAATTGCGAGGGAAGCTTTCCTTATCCAGGTCAGCTGTTCATCCTAGCTCCTAGATTGAAAGAGTTTGCGAATGTGTATCTGTCGCGTGCTTCGTCTGTAGCATTCAGGAAGCCAGTTGCAGGCTGCGTAGTGCGCCCAGACTTGTGCAGCGTGCCTAAGGTTGGATGAGCTGGGGATTTCCCTGGGTGCCTCAGTCACATCACGGCTTCCTGGCTTGTGCAACGTTTCAAGCAAGTGTGAAGGCTGTTGCAAGCTTTTGCGTAGGCAGATGCAGCTCAGCAATTGTTTGGGACATGTGCCGCAAACAGAGCTCACTTGTAGTTGTATCCAGTTATAGCTAAGTTAAGAGACATGCCGACACATGCTGTAGATTGTAGATATGTCTTGCAAAGTTGTTTGCGATTTGTCCCAACTGTGCTTGGATCCCTGACTCTTTGCGCAGCAGCAGCAGTGCAAAGTTTCCAGAAGAAAGCCAAAGGGTTCAGCCATTGCCAATCAGTTGTGTCATGCTGCGATGTGTTCCAACATGCGGGCGCAAATTCCATCTCAGGTTCGTGCAGGAGGTGCCAAGCCCCATGATATCATATGTGTATTGTTGAAGCCTTGGTTACTTCTGGGAGAGTCTTTTCAAAGACCTTGGGCGGCAGGGTTCCCCACCTGAGGGAAATTCAGCGGCGTTGCCGCAGGCCTGCGGTTGCGCAAAAGTGTATCCGTCACAAAACGCGTGCTTTCATGGATTTCGAAGCGAATTTGAAAATTTTCATCGTTTTTTGATTTTTTTCTATTTTTTCAATCGATTTTCTCCGAAAATTGAAAAAACAATGATTTTCTGAGTTTTTTCTTGGAAATGCAAGCAAAACAGATATTTCATTGCAAAAATCAGCAAATCCACTTTGCTTTGAGTTTTTCATTCTTTTGATGGCACCAATGGAAATCGCTTGATTTGATGAATTTCGGTCTGAGGGACAGCCCGCAGTTGAAGGCAAGAGTCAGCAAGAGTGGGGCCCAGACCTTTCGACGCACTTTTTTTTTTACGGCTAAATTGCCCGTAGAGAATTATGTCCATTTTTGGGGGACAACATGAGCGAAAAAGTGGTGAGAGATCCTGTTTTGGAGCTTCCTTCTCTGGTGAGTAGTGAGTGGGCTGAGATGTAGTGGCAACTGGCTTGCGCGGTGCTGGAATGTGTTTCAGAGTCTCAGCCGCTCGCATACATTCAAGCAATTCTTGGATGGGTGGTGTGGGCCTTGAGGGGTCACCGCATTTGTGTTGTGGCCTTGGGCAGGTCTTAGGGGGTCTGGGCGGTCTGGGAGCCCCCCTTACCAGCAGCGGCAGCATCATTATTGCCCCGTTTCTCCTTTTGCCTGGCTGGTGGCGGCTGGGGTGCGATGTAGCAATAGGTTAAGTAATATAGCCAGGATCAGAGTATTTAAGAGCAAATAACAGTTCTTGAATAATGCGTGCCTGGAGATTTTAGAATATGAAGGCGCAGGGCACTTGGCACCTCCTGTACGAATCGGAGAGCAGTGATAGCTGCAACCTGTTAGTGGATTTTTCTGGAAGCTAGATAGTAGGTGTCCCTAGCTCCGGCTTCAGAGCTCTTGATATCTTCTTGTAGAGTTGCACAGATGTAGTCTAAGCATTTGCTTGTGGGCAACCGCTGTTCGCAATCTGTGAGCAATGAGCATGTTTCAGCCCAATTTTCAAGCAGCCAAAGCCGCAGGGTCCCTGTGGTCTTCCAACTCCCAAGATTGAGTGCTGCGCTGTGCAGTGTAGGCTCAGACAGAGATTGCAGCTGGCCAGGGGGCCAGGCAGCAGTGTCGCCCTAAAGGTAGATGTTAAGAGAGCGTCAGGACATAGCGAAATCTTTCATAGTTTCCATACTTGCAACATGAGCAGTGCTTTCTGTGTAGTAGTAGCATCTGTTTTAGATTTTCGAACCCTCTCAGCCAGTGGTAATGATGTCTTCACCTTTGCCAGCGAGCAGTCACAAGCGGCGCAGAATTCTGCAGCGTTGCACATCTCTAGAGCAAGAGCCAGAAAATTGTGACCAGTGTGATCTTTCTAGCAGTCCTCCCGGCATTCGCAGCTTGAAGGACCTTGCAGAGTGGCCGCTAGATGTGGCCACAGCCTTGTGTGGTGGGAACGATGAGAAGAATGAAGAATTGCGCCTTCGGCTTCGCAATCATTTGTTAACCGGAATGATCCTGAACACGGATTATTCAGGACTTGACTGTCCGCGAGAGGCAATGGAGATGGGCATTCAAGCTTTGAAGCGTGTGCTTGATTTGGAGATCCCTGGGTCAGTGTTACGTGTTGGACGTACCTGTGACAAAGGTGCAATTCAGAAGCGTGTGCAGGTTGAGCTCGCTCGTAGTTTTGACTTCGAAGGTGGGCATCAGCATTGCCACTTTGAAGACATCCTCCATCGACTGCCCAAGAGCGCCCAGGACTACATTTCAGCAGCTACCCCGAACAAGTCAGCTCCAAAGGCAGATCGAGCGGCAGCCTTTGGGGCCATCGCTACTTGGATCATGCAGAACCGCTCTTGGCTGTTCAGCTTGGACGCTGAGAGCTACTGCTGTGTGCACGACAGGCGATTCGCTCACTCAGTGCAAGCCGCAGTGTAGTATCGACTTGTCATTTATGTGTGGGAGTAGGTGTGACAGAGTGTGCCAAGCATGCATCAACTTCGTTGTGCTCCTGAAGTGTAGTGAGGATGCAGGTGTCAGGTATTTCTATATTATTTGCCACTGCATGGATTACTTGTCTGTTTTGTGTAATGCAGTAGCTCCCTGAATTTGGATCAACTTGGTGTGGTCAGTAATGTGACAGGCGATGCAGAGTTCACAAGTTCGCTGGAGCTGAAGATGATTCCAGTCTTCGCATGAATGTCGCTGGCGTGACCTGTCATGCATGGTCGTCTGAGGGATTGAATGAGGGCAGTGCTCATGAGTCAGAAATCCCATTGGCCGCATGGCTTGCAGAACGAGTCTACATGTTCGAGCAGAAGGCCGAGGACGTTGCGTTTCTTGAGTGCACCCCGAGGTTCCCGGCCCAGCAAAGGTTGAGTGAGGTTTTCGGGGCCCTTGGAAAAGTCTTCGCTTGGACAGATGGACCTGAGTGGCATGGATGGCCGCACAGACGTAGGCGTGTCCTTGCCGTGGTAGTGAACACTTTGACAGCGTCCTGGGTCGGGGACACTGATGTCTCTGTGTTGAAGGATGCAAACTATTCTTTCGTCAGATGGTTTCCACTGGGAAGCTGCTCCTGCAAGCCAGTGATGAAGAGAGGGTTGCCGAGATGACTGCCATTGCAGTTGGTCGCAAGAACAATGTGACCAAATCGGAGGTTGCAGAACTACTTGATGTTGGCGATCTTGATTCACTAGCGACTTTGACTCTTCCCCCAGGTGGCATCCAGCGTCTTCGAGATTGGCAGGAGCTCTACCATGAGAAGCTTGCTGAATCCCCAAGTTGCGAGCATTCCTATGCGATGTGGATCATACTGTTGGTGGTAAAGGTGCCAGTTGTAGAGTGTTGGGTTGGAAATTGGAAGGGTTAGGAAGTGGGATGTACATCATGCTGGGATTCGACTTTGGGTGTTGCGGTCATGTGCACGACGGCTTGAAAAATCATTCCTTGAAGGTCCCAGTGGAGGCGAGCTGTGGCCCACCCAACTCACTCATGGCTCAGTGGTATCCTTTCGTCGCGCCCAACAAGATGACAGCCGCTCAAAAACCACTTGGCAAATGGCCACAGCTATGGAGCACATGAGCACGCTCGGGTGGAGGTTCTATGGGGATTCCAAGCTTTTCCCGCCTTCGCGGATGCATGAGGTCATGAAGAAGACTTCCCTGACGCCTGCCCAGATCAAAACATTGGCAGGCAACAGTATGCACCTGAGGACGCAGATGACGTTCATGCTGTTTTGCCTGGCGCAGATCATCAAAAAGCAGTCTGGTCGCGCGTCCTTGTCGCGGGCATCCACATGGATGGACGATGAGGAGCAGTGATCAGTCACTTACGCTCAGATGTGCAGGGTAGAGTTTGAAGTTGGCAGATTGTGTGCAAACACTTTTGGTCCAGACTATAGCAGTCTGCTGCCACAGCCGGAGTAGATGTGCGCGATGCTGAAGAAATGCCAATGTTAATGTTGGAGTGTAGCCACTGCCAGTGTCGGTCCGGTGTGTGAGTGTGAGACTCATGTTCGGCAACTTGCAGAACGGGACCTGCCAGCTTGTGCCTGTGCCAGTTGCCAGTGCCAGTGCCAGTTGAGTTGCAAGTTGCAAGTTGCATGTTCAGCTCCAAATGCCCGTGCTGGAAAGCACAGCTGCCGTGCTTGTTTGCCCTAAGCTCTGCCACTGACAAGTGGATTCTGTGTGTAGGGTAGGATTGATTCCAGGGCCAGGGCCCAGGGAGTTGCAGAATCCGCAACATGGATGATGATGAGTTCGAGGTGCCGGACGTCTTCGAGAGTGGGGGTGACGGTGCTGGGGCCGGAGACGGAGAGGAGAAGGCGTCAGCTTCTCAACCAGCAGAAGGCGAGCGACGTGGACGTGGTCGAGGGCGAGGACAAGGATCAGAGAAGAGCGCGAAGCACCGTCGTGGTGCTGCCAAGGCCAAAGCTAAACCAGTTGAGGCCAAGGTCTGCAAGACCTGTTTTGTCGCCCTCTGTAACAGGAAGACGAAGGCGCAAAGCAAGTTTTGCGGGGATCATCATCGCGACGCAGAAGCGATGAAGTATCAAGTGCGGCAGAAGCAGAAGGATCACCCGGAGAGGATCGCGGCAGTCAACTTGGCATTGGCCGACCCGGCCAAAGCTAAGCTTGCTTTGGACGATTTTGCCCGACTAAACCCGCCTGGAAGGTTTAGAAAGGGGCTAATAGACTGGACCTCTTTTGTCCAGCGCTTCGGGAAAAGGGTTGAGACGAGGACCAGACAGGGCGAGGAATTGATGGATGCCACCGACTACATTCGCTGGCAGACCCAAGATCGAGGTCTCACTCAGGAACAGGCTCAGAAAAAGTGGCTTGAGCTTCTGGAGTCAGACCTTGATCGTGAAGGTGACGGTACTCCCCACAACACCTCCGTTTGGGTGCCAAGGAACAAGACTCGCTTCAAGGATGTCATCCGCTACAAGGACCATGGTGTCGAGGAAGGCTCCAAGCAGGCCAAGAACATGTCAGACAGCGACAGGAATTCTGGGCCAAATTCTGGGCAGGGTTGTTAGACTGATCCTTCCACACTCAAAGCTCCCCCTCATGAGCTATGCCTATTATCATAAAGACTTTCATCGTGTAGACTTCTAGGCCTCACTATTTCATCCCATCCAAGTAGCTTTAACTAGTCCTGCTGTTTGTGTAGGGGGTTCTGTTTGCTACTTTTCTGGATTCATCCTCAGAACCACGTAGGCAGGATCTCTTGGACCACGTGAACAAGCAGAGCGATTCCTTTGCAGATCCATGGTTGAGACGTGGCGCAGCTCAGCGGGACGATGAGCCAGCAGGTTCTGCTTCGAAGGCCGAAGAGATGGATGTTGAGGATGACGATGCCAATGCCAAGAAGGGTAAATCAGGCCGCCAGGGATAAGGTTTTGTTTGGGTTTTGTGGTTAAGATATCTTTAGATAAGTTCTTCTTGAAGAAGTGGGGCTCGATTCATTGTTAACGAACCCACACTCTCAAACCCTGAAACCTTAACGCCCAAACCCCAAGCCTTCAGCCCTGAACCCTTCCCAAACGCATTTGCATTGCAGGCTCGAACGTGGAGATTGTCATTGCAGGCCCTCGTGCGTATGAGAAGAACGAGAAGGTGGTGAGCACTTGCTCTTCAGTGGTCGCAGCAGGCGTCAAGGCGCTGACTGAAGCGCTGGACATGTCGAAGGCCCAACCCAGCACTGAGAAGTTGCAGACTTCGTATGAGCACACATGTGCTGTGCGTCTTCGCATCCTGCACATATGGCAGTCGCATGAGGTGAGTAGCATTCCCGAGCTTTCCAGCATTACCGGCATTACCAGCACCGCCAATCAAGGTGGTAATGATGGAGAGAAGTCAGCCTCGAATGGTGATGGTGACAAGGCACCGGCAACTCCGGCAACTGATGGTGATGCAGCTGCCAAGCATGCTGAGTGTACTCCAGAGAAGCTAGTTCCGGTGTCAGGTGCCAATGCCAAGTCCTCGGCCTCAACCACTTCTCCTTCAGTGTCATCATCTATGAAGGTGAGTAGCATTTTGCGAAAGTCTTTGGAGCCTGGTGCTGGCAACTCCGCAGCTCAGCATGTCGCCGATGTCAGCCATGCTTTGTGCCGTGCTGAGATGAACGATGTGCATCAATCCATGTTGGGTTGTGAGACCGTTGATGATCTGCACCAGCAGGTTGACAAGCTGAAGAATGCTGCAGCGGTCGTGAAACAGCTGAAGGATGGTGCGACAAAGGCGGCGGCTAGCTTGAAAGCCCATATTCAAAACCGTCTCAAAGCTCAGAAGCGCAAGCTGCAACAAGATGAGAAGCAGAAAGAGCAGGTTGAAATGAACGCCCGCAAAAGACAAGCCAAGGAGGCGGCCTTGGAGGTGAAGAAGCAGGCAGATGCTCTTTCGCCAGTGTTCACAATCGAGTGGGGGGACCTCAAGAATGCCGAGGACATCCTCAGTGGCAAAGCCGTGCCAGTGTTCAGCGGACCTGCAGTGGGCAGCATCACTACCTTGGACACGCCGTGCTGCATTGCTAGTGTTTCGGCAGTTGCCACCTTCATGAAGAACCCCAAGGTAGCTCGGTTATTTCCTCACAAGAGTGTTTTTGTAATCTAATGTTGGATCGGGTTGGGTTGAAGGTTCTCCTGCATCAGGATTGGTGTTCCCCCAAATGTCAAAGCTTTCAGTTCTGGTTTTCAAGAGTCAAAACATCAGGTGCAAGTGATGCTGGGTGGCTTTGGAGGCTCCTACAAAAAGTCCGCAGCCCTGAAGCAGAGCAACAAGTGCCAAGAGTTGATTTACAAGAACAATGGTGTTGAGGAGTGCGACGCCTTGTTCAATGAGGTTGCCGGATTGTTCAAGGCGCCGTCCTTTGTGGAGGCTGGCGCTAATGGCATGGAGAAGTATTTGGTTAATGTGCTGCAGAATGGCTCTATGGCTATGAGGCTTCCAGCTCACATGTGGGGCAATCTCCAAATGGCCTCCCATCCTTCAAAGTCCTTTGCAGTGGAGAGATCGCTTGGTGCTTGTATGACCTTAAGAAGCTCGTTCCGGCCATGAAGATCTTGTTAGGCAGGGATAATGTGGGCGGTTTGGATGGCGTTCAGACCTTCGTGAAAGACCTCACTCCGGCAAAGGCCATTTCACTTGCTTCGCATGGTTGTCACCCATATTGGATTCACCAGAAGGAGCAGCAGATCCTCTACGTGCCGTGTGGATACATTGCAGCGGAGCACTGCAAGAAGGGTGTCCTGATCTATGGAGTTCGTCGAACGCTTCTGCATGTGTCAGCTGAAGCAGCTGAGAGCTATGGCTTTCTGATGTCGTTGCATGAGCAATCGGGCAAGCCTCTAGACAAGTTGCGAGCAACGTGTGCTCTGCTGACACTTTCAGAGACAGAGTAGCTCCCTGAGTAGGTTCCAAGTAGAGTTGCTGTCATTCTGCAAGTTCGACCGGGTTGTTGATAGGAATAATCCCCCAAATGATGATGATGTAGATGGCCTACATATAGCGTGCAGTCTCTGTTGTTGGTGTGTTGTTCAGAGTGGCAGTGGCAGAGCTTCAATGCGACAGGTACTGTAGCGGGGTTGCAGACGCTGTTGCAGCCAAAGGCTTCTTTTCTTGACAAGGGCCATCTCATCAGTTCTTCACTGATGGCCGATGTATGATGTAGGAGCACACTCACACGAATCGAGAGCGTGAAACTGAGTGGCTGGAAATGGAGGATCGCAGCTCTCATGAGCCAAGTTTGTTTGCAAATTTGAGCTGTTGAGATTTGAGGCCCAACTTGCACATCAACCCTCAACCCTAAACCCTAAACCTTAAACCCAAACCCTTAAACCTTAAACCCAAAACCCTTAAACCTTAAACCCAAAACCCTAAACCCTAAACCTTAAACCTTAAACCCCACAACCCTAAACCCTAAACTGCTGCAGGTACTATTTTCTGGAAATGGGGCAGCCTTTAAACTTTAGACCCTAGAATGTGTGTGCCACCTTGTTGTTGAAGACGTGTTTGTACTAGTTCGGTAATCCTTTGCAGCCCAACGGCCCGCCGTGCAAGGTTTAGCCCAAAGAGGTCAGGTGCATGTGTTTCATTTTTTTTGTGCGAGATAAATCCAATCCGCATGATCCGGCTGAGTTCCCCTGAGTCCCCCCGAGTTGCCCTGAAAGGGAAGTCCGAAGGGAATCCACGCAAGTTAGCATTGACTTCTGATGCTGGCGCTCACGGTGGCAGTGGCAGGAGCTGGCGTGACGTGTAGAATATTCAGGAATAGATTTCCCACTATTGTATAAAGTCTAGAAACCCAGGCTGGAGCCACCCATTTTACAGGTCCCTGACCTTGGGGCGCCCCATTTTACAGACTCCTTGCCCTTGGGGCCTCCCATTTTACAGTCCCCGTGCCTCCACCAACATTTGGCCGAAACCCATGAATCTGACCGTATTCCTCTCCAAGTACTACAGAAGGCTCACAATCTATATGGACGTGCTTCAAGCCATTCTAATCAATTCTACACCCAAATGAACGCCGGCCACACCCATTTTACAAGACAGGCAATCTGGAAATGTATGGACCACCCATTTGATGAAGCAGTAATCTTTGAACATCCAACATCAGCCGACCAATAACGACATATAACGACTACACACGCATGTGCTCAAGTCCTCCCAGATTTCTGCTTGTTCTGCGTATGCTTCAGGGGATTCGTTCTCAATCTCGGGGTCTCCGTGCAAGAGCACGCGGATGCTCCACAGCAAACAATTCCCGTCAGCCAGGCTCTCTTCAATGAAGATGTCGTGCTTCAGCAGGCAACGCTTTAGACGGGCAAAGTTCGTGAGCCTCAGGCTGACACGTGCCGGGAAACCACATGGAAATGTGTGTCCCAACACCAAGATGGTCAACACGCATCAACACGCGGCTACCGACAAATAACAACAAGCGGACTACGACTTGAATGACACTTGGGAAGCGTAAGCACAAACCTATCCATTGCATTCCATTGCTATCCAAAAGATGCGGGAGCCCTCACTCAGCCAAGATGCAATCCGTGGGCCTCCTGTAAACTAGCCATATGCGCCAAGGCCTCGGCCTCCTCTTCTGAATTCTTGGCATCCTCCAGATCGCACCCTGCAAGCTCCAGCCTCAAGGAGGTCTCGCGTATCCGCTCTTCGAGCAATGACTCGGACTCCTGAACCTTCTCCTCGAACAATGCGTCGCCCAGCTGTTGGCGGTACCACCCTGGCATCCAGTGGTTGCAAGGCTGCTTGTTGTCGTAACCAGCGTTGCAGAAGACTAGAATCCAGAGATTCTTGCTCTCCTTGGGAGGGATGGGGCGCTCGCGCAAGCGCAGGCCCGGGGGCAAGAAACCGTGCAAGTACTCCGGCTCGTTGCGCGGGGAGTCCCGGACAACAACCACCTCCTTGGCAGGCGCTAGGGTTTCGGCGCACATTCTGCTTTCATGTGAGGGTGTTTCAGCACCGATTCGACTCATGATCTAGACATGCAGCTATGGCATGAACATACACGCTGAGTAGTGTAATGGTTTGCAATCGAGCTGCCATTGCTCGATTTTCTGCACAGAGAAGAAGGTCCAACACGTCCAAATGTTCTGCAGGCCTTAGCACCTTGCTGCTCCATTGCTTTATTGCCTCTGACACCTCCTTGCTTCCTTCTGGATGGGAGTCCCCCCCCGCTGCTCTCTGCCACGCAGCTGCGGAAGCTGCTGCCTGCTCAGCAACAAGGAAAGCTCAAGTCATAACATGAGATAAGGCTGCCCAATCATGCCAGGTCGTTGAGTTGACATAAACTGGCAGCATCGCAGCTGCACATGTGCGTCGCCTCCGGCAACTCCCTCTTGACTGCAGGTGCAGCCTGCGCAACGGCCATCGCGCAGCATAAGCACAACCGCCCCCGGCCCTCTCACTCTCTTCAAGCCCAAACCCCTATACCCTGAATCCTAAACATCCCTAATGGCTCTGCCCTAGACCGTTTCTCTCTCGCTCTCTCTCTGTCTCTCTCTCTCTCTCCGTTTCCCATCCCATGCTCATCCATGCTCCGTGTTCCTGTTCCTGCTGCAAAAGCACTCCGAATGATAAAAAAATATTAGCGCAGTGCCCAGAATGGCCTCGGAATCCGTGAAGACCTGTGGCCCAGGCGCAGGCTGGTTGTGCCTCGTCGACAAGCAGACCACTCTGCTAGCGAGAGACTAAGAACAGTGCGCGCAAAAAAAATCTAACGTTGAAAGTAAGAGTTGGACACGATCGGAGAAATTATGTTGCCCCTGCGATCTCATTTGCAACCTGGGCTCGAGCGGGCATCAGGCAATGTCAACGTCGGCAGTGGCTGCGGACAGGAGGACTCATCCGTCGCAACCGGGTGTCCTGCGTTCCATGGCTCATGAACAGTGCAGTTTTCATGGGTGGTCCAGTCTCATCAGAAACCTGTATCACTGCGGTTGAATGTGCAAATAATGGGATCTCTAGAATTGCCTAGATGCATGGGAGGAGACCCGTACCCACAGCTGCGGCCTGACAGATCGCCTCCGGGAACGTCACCTGCCTGTCTCTCTGCGGAAGCATGCTCTGCCTGCAGAATACAAAGACCGCGCGCCATGTTTCTGAGAAAGGCTCGCTTGCAAGTATTTCAGAAATTCCACGGCCAAACATGAGCAAGATAGATCAAAAGGTGGCCTCTGCAGTTCTGTAACCATCTGGAATTGATGTGTCAGCACTCTGCAGCAACTCTGTTGCTACTGTCCGCTCCTTGGCGAGTCCTGACATAGCTCACTCGCGCCCAAGTTGAATAACAGCAGTAGTATGGGAGCTTGCGTGCCATAGATAAGTATGGTGTAGTCTGGTAACAACCGGTAGAAACATGTAGAAACTACAGTCATCCCCAGTAACAGCCTACCTGCAAACCTCCCGTAATCCCTCCGAGTAACATGTTGGCTCTTGTCCTCCGCCCAGCTGATCTGCAACGCTGGGAAGTTTATTCCTGAATATTCTACACGTCTGGTCTGTAAAATGGGGCGCCCCAAGGTCAGGGACCTGTAAAATGGAGGGTCTCAGGCCAGGCGGTCTGTAAAATGGGGTGCCCCAGGGTCATCAAGGGTCGGGGAGGGTTCAGGCCTTTTTCAGGCTTCCTCAGGAGGTTTTGTGGAAGGTTTGCAATGGTTTACAATGGTTTGCAACCGTTTATACCAAAATTGGCCACATCTGGCCCAAACCCATG